GGACACAGGTGTACTATCTGAAATTTCTGCATAATCAGGTCTCAGTGCATGCAGTAAGGAATTATTATACAATGACATTAATTATTAAAATAATTGATAGGAACGCAGTTCTACATAAGAATGTCACTTTGATTTTCTGTGGATTAAAATGGTAAATGTAAAGTAGATAATAAGATTAAAAGAATTGGCCACTTCAATGATTTTGATTCTCAATGAATATATCTCCACATATGCTTATTTTTATTTTATGAAAATGAAAAAAATTAACATGTCAGATTGCTTGCTATCAGTAATTGTTTAGTTTCTCTTATTGGAAGAAAAGGAGGTGCCATTTACCTTCCATTGGTATCCAGTTACTTAGGTTTGTGCTTAGGAATACGTTTCCTCTTCATGGTCCAGTTAAATGCAAATGTGACAGGCAGCGAGGTAGCACAGAACTGCTGTCAGTTACCAGCCAGCCTTGGACATTAGATCACCTGTGTTAAAGGTGTCTGTAGCCCTTTAGGACTTGCTGCAAAGAAAAAGCAAGAGGAAATTGAAGGCAAGGAAGTGATTGAAGAAAACAGAAGTGCCTGAAGTATAATTTCAGGACTTGAGCTAACATTTTCCTTTTCCATTCTGCCTTTAGGAACTCAAGCTGTTCCTCGTCTGCTGAGTTTTCATTTTATTGTCTCATAAATAAGAGTGGAGAGAGATGTGTTATTCAACAACAACACATGAACATAAGTTACAGGATGTGATCTGCAGGAAGGCTTCACATTTTTTGTGTGGTCAGTAAAAATTCTTTTCAGCCTTCACTTTAAAAAATAATGTGTTTCACTTGATGTCATGCTCTTCTGTTTATGGTATTTAGTAGTCTCACTATTCAATGTCAGAGGTGACTAATTTCCAAATCTTCAACACTTTTAATATCCTAATTTTTCACTCAACAGTTTGCAATCACTAGTCAGGTACCTCTTAGGGAATGGTAAATTTGTCGCCAAACTTTCTCTCTCTCCAAAACCTCCAAAAGAGGTTTTAAAAAGTTCTATGAGAGTTTCACTTGTCCTGGAATGAATATAGCTCTGGCTTATTTGTCTCATTGTCCAATAAAAGTGTTGCATCTTATTTGATTTTTTGGTTTTTTTTTTTTGATCATGGGGATTGTTCTTTCTACAAATATTCTAAAACTATTAGGATATTTTAAAACTGCTAGTATGTATTTTCAATAATGAATGATGAAAATTTTATTTGTGATGCAAATTATTATAAATATGTAATTATAGTGCAATTATATTTTTAATGTTCATTCTAAACAAGAAACTTGCACTGTCTCATTTTACCTGTCTGACTTACCTAGGCAAGTGCCAGAGCAGGCTGTTTGCATCATTGAAAACCCTAAAAGGATCAGTGATAAAAGTTTCAAAACAAAAAAGACAAGAAAGTATAAGTCCAGAAGACACTGTCTTCATTCTTACCTGACCCCAGGAAAGATTCTCTCAGAGACACTAGGGGTCCAGGGCAGAATCTGCCAAGAAAGATTTATAACTGGTTGTAATTGGCAGATTTATCCCTAAGGTATTTTTTTTAACTCACCAGGAACAAACACTGTATTTCTACAAAAGATAACTCCAGGGAAAACAGAATAATTGCCATACACTTTCAGCTGTTAGGATCTTGGGATTTGAGCAGTGTGGTTGCAACAGTTTGTCATCACTTTCAGTTGGTGGCTCTGAGTGACTGGGAAGTTATTCTCATGTGATTACAGCATTATAAGTCACCATTCATTCTATGTAAATGAATAGAACAACTAAGACAACTACACAATTTTGACACATACATAGATTTTGATGTTTCAGTAATTTCCTCTAAGTGTTAATCTGGTACTGAGCAATGCCTTTAAAAACTTGCTAGAATCACATATTGAACTTATAAAGTCTATTGAATTTAATGATTTGAACAAGACCTCGGAATAACTTATAGCAGCACTAGTTCAGGTTGCTAGGTTTAGATATTGGGAAATATTGTTTTATGGAAAATCTGGTGATTATGTAAGTTAGCTAAATATTGTTTCTCAATATATAAAATTAAACAGGACAAAGGTCAAAATACTGTGTATCTAGTTCCTTCTATGTGCTAACTATTCTATTTCATTGAAAGCAACAGTAAGCACTTGCAATGCATGCAAATTTAGCTAAGATACGTTACACATGTTCAAACGTATGTAGTTTCATTGTGAAGGGAGGGAAAGGGACACACAAGTGCTCCTCATGAGGTACATTCTGCGTCTGACATACTACTGACTTAGGAGCTCTTACCTTATTTTTCATCAACACCCTCATTACCTCTCACTGTCTCTCTCATTCACTGGTTTTCTGCCAAGCTTTTTCCAAACTGAAAGGGTTTATTCATTACTGTGAACTCTATTTCTCCCAACTTCCCTCCAGGTATTTTCTACCTTTTAGACATCAACTTCAATGTTAACCCTAGGGGAAGACTGCTCCTAGCTACATTTTTGCATAAACCACCATAACGGCTTTCTTGTTTGTTTGTTGTGTTCAATATTAATTTTAAGTATAATTTTCTTTGTTTCTGATACATTTTCCCTTCCAGGCTTCTATTCTAAAAAAGAAGAAACTGATATTTTATCTGCATTATAATACCCATCTTTCAGTACGGTGTCTCGAATGTGATAAGAAAGGCAAAATAATTTATTTAGTGAATTTATTACAAAAATAATAAATCAGACATGCAAATCTAAACATTGTAGGGTTCAAATTTTTAGTAACCCAAATTATAAATAATTTAAATAGCAGAAGATACAGGCAGATATTTTGCAAATGGAAATCAAGAGATTTAGGGCAAGAGGGATGGAGCAGTAATATTTGAAAAACACAAAGTCATCATTTGACAAAATTGTACACTATTATCAATTTGATTTGATCACAAGAAAGCATGATATACTTAACATTTAACATTAACAAAAATAAGAATAATCATAGGATTAATGGATATATGTAGAAGCATTTTATGACGTCAGTATCCATAGATGATGAACTGTATTACTGAGCAAGGAATAGAAAATGTAAATGTCTTAGTTACTTTTCTCTGATTGCTGAGACAAAATATTATGCCCAAAATTAAAGGAGGAAAGATTTATTTAGTTTACAGTTTGTGGAGGTTTCAGTCTGTCAATAGCTGGCTCCAAGGCAGGGTGCAATTGTGAGGGGCAATAGTTCAGGGGAGCAGAAGATACAAAATTAACCAGAACAAAAGGTAGGAAGCCAGCCTGTTTTCCTCTCTTACACTGTATGCAGGTTGGGTGGGTTCTGTAGGGTGGGTCCTCTACATCCTAGAGTATAGACAGATGCCCTAGGGCAGGTCTTTTATACCCTAGGATGTGAAATTGTCAAGTCACTTAGTTAAACTTCTATACTTATCAAGTTGACACAGTGAACTAGTCTCAAACTTTGGAGTCAGCTGCCCCAGAAAAGTCCACCCCTCAAGACTGTATGAGGCTTTGGGGTGACATCCAGACACAAACCATAGCAGGAGGTTTTTTACCAGGATATAGGATGTTTATGAAAAGTACACAAGTAATGTTATATAGTAAATGGAGCCCCTCTAAGATGGGAGACAAGAGCTGAATATCCATTCTCAATACTTCCACTCAGTATTACACTGTCAGTCTAAGATACTGCAATAATAAAGGTAAAATAATTAGGGCTCATAAATATTGCAAAGGAGTAGAATTTCTTAAATCACAGATGGCATGAAAGAAATGTTAAAGGATGAAGAAACAAGGAAAAAAATTAAAATATAATTATAAGGGGAATCAGAAAAATTTGTAGACATTAGGCTCATTATTATACTCAGTATATAATTTAGAAACAAGCAAGTAAGGTGTAGACTTAGGTGTCAGGTCCTTAGACGCCAGGATTCTAATGATTTCAGAGGTTCAGCCACATTATTATCCAGGATATGCTAAGACAGTGGCATGTTATTTTTAATCTTGCCTTAGCTAATTTGTTAGGTTTTTTTTCTTGTACACCTGCCCATATGCACAAAAACCCCAAATGATAACAAATGGAGATACTACTTATAGTTACTTAACATCTAGCAAATAAAAATAATATAATAGAGGATATGTCTTCTTTCTAAGAAAGAAACTTAGAAAATACTCAGTATTTGAGCCCAGTAGAGGACACTGTGGTGAGAAACTATATATATATATATATATCATATATGTATACATTATATTTATATATTTACGTAATATATATATATATATGTACATTTCTATATATGTGAATACTTCATGGTTCCCTCCATTTCTGTATTTCCTCTTACTAATTTTAGTCCTTACTTTCAGGTTAATCTTTGCAAGGTCCAGTGAAATGGAAAGCCACCCTCGCAGGCCAGAGCTGGAAGAAGTGTGGTTCTGTAACCAATAAGCTGATCAAGCCTAGGAAAAATCTAATCCATCTGCCCTTTTCCTGTCCTTCATCCATCCCTCCTTCCCTTCAGCTTCATAAGAAACTGGAGTCCACTGTCCTGAGGATGTATCTGATTTTGCTCAGTGAGCACCAAGAGGACAAGGAAAGGGCTCATATAAGAATTCTTCAATCAAAAGATAGAAGAGAGTATGGAGGGAAGGGACAGGGCAGGGAATAGGTCTCTGCTGTTCTCTGGAGTAAACAGTAATAATAAATGCACTGAAGTGTTTCAGAAATACCCTTTGGAACTTATTGCACAGAGCAGAGCTTCTCCAAATTGTATGTGCTTAAAAATGACTTGGGGATTTGACTAAAATTTGAATTTGGAGACAAAAGATCTGAAGTGTAGAATGTGATTTTGCATCTCTAAGCATCCTCCAAGAGTTCACCTTACCTGCGATATAGTTGAGAGACAAAAGAATTTCTCTGGAACACTGAAGACATATCTATACAGGGAACCCAACTGCATCATCACAAAACAGAACAAAACCAAAGCCACTTGAGTCACAATAATAGAGTTATGTTTTACTGAAAAGTGGAAGCACTGACACTGTCCTGGCGGATATTACATCTGATGACATCCTTCAGAGCCTGTTTCACATCTTTGTTCCTCACACTGTACATTAATAGATTAACTGTGGGACTGATGAAGGTGCAGAAGACAGCTATTATTTTGGACTTTTCAACAGTCTCATCTATTGGTGGCCTTATATATATGCAGAAGAGAGTCCCATAAAATAAGGTGATACCTGTCAGGTGAGAACCACAGATGGAGAAGGCCTTGCACTGGCCCTCTGTAGACAGGATCCTAAGAACGGTAGTGACGATGCAGGCATATGACACCAGGATGATGCTGAGGGAGGTGGACAGATTGAAGTCTGCCGAGATGAACATGGCATATTCCTTGACATAAGAGTCTGAGTAAGAGAGCTTAATGAGGGTTGGGTCCACGGAGTAGAAGTGGTTGATGACACTGGACCTGCAGAAGGTCAGGCGGAAGGTCAGGATGATATGGAGCAGCCCATCTGAGAAGTTGTGGTCATAGGGCAGGGTGGCCAGACTGATGCATACAGGCCAAGACATCTTCACAGTGTCGTGCAGAGGCAAGCAGATGGCCATGTAGTGGTCATAGATGATTACAGCCAGCATGGAAAGCTCCATGGGCAGAAGGGCAATGAAAACGTAATACTGGGTGAAGCAGCCAGCAAAGGAAATGGTCTCCCTATCTGATAGGAAATTGGTTAGCATTTTCAGGGTAGCGCTGAAGATGTAGCACAGGTCCACCAGGCCCAGGTGAGTGAGGAAGAAGTACATGGGCATGTGAAGGCGAGAGTCCAGTCCAATCAGCTCTACCATTCCCAGGTTGCCTAGTGTGGTGACAAGGGAAGCAAGCAGGAAGAGCGCCAAGAGCAGAGGCTGGAGCTCCAGGCAATCTGTGAGCCCCAGCAAGACAGATTCTGTGCCTGTGCTGCTGTTGTCCATTTCCTCAGAGCTGGGGTTTCCAGAAGGAACCAGGGAGGCCAAACCAACCTAAGATACAAACCATGTTAATGACCACGGACATCATTTTCTTCTTAAAATGCACGATCCACAATGAAGCTGGGAAAGGTATAGTCATAGTATCTCAAAAGCCTGCTGTAGGAATAACAGCAGCACAGAGCTTGCCTCAGCTACCTGAGTACCTAGGATTTGGTGCGCAGCACTGGAAAAAGAAGGGAAAAAGAAGGGAAAAAGAAGAAAGAAAGAAAGAAAGAAAGAAAGAAAGAAAGAAAGAAAGAAAGAAAGAAAAAAAAGAAAGAAAGAAAGAAAGAGAGAGAAAGAAAAGGGGAGAGGAGAGGAAAGGAGACGTGCATGCTTATCAAATAAGTAGAAAAAATAGATGAATTTTTACATGATATTTTTAGGACTGTGACAGCAATAAGTTGAAATATTTTTCAAGAAAAAAATGAAATTGTGCTGACTTAACATTTAAGCTGTTTAGTTATTAGAATTTCCTCCAACTTTTCTATTTCTCCTAATAACACAACCAATTAGCCCTGAAACCCTTCCTCTTTTCTCTCGAGATATTTAAAATTTTTGCCTTTTTCCTTGCACATAAAGTCACTTAAATTTTTTTCCTAATTTTTGTCTCATTTCAAACTTAGTCACTGTAGTCATGTCACTGTAAGTTTCAGGTCAGTAACTAGGAATTATATTTTAATAGGATATTTCCTTTAGAATGCTGAGTTTCTGAGAAAGATTTTTAATATATTAGTAATAGTAGATGGATTCTATGGGTCTTTAAACACATTTACCAAGTTCCCTTTCTAGGCTTAACTCTTTCTGCGAATTAACAAAGGCAACATGTACATGATTCTATTTGACAGACACTAATGTCTTTATGGTGCTTTTAAGAAAAATGAAGTACAAAAACTTGAATCACACACTGCGATAAAGTACAAGATCTGCTCCAAATTTTCTGCGGTACGAATCTCTTTTATTAGATTCTGTTGGTGATATTTTCCCTCCCTAAACCTCAGCTGTGTTATCAGACTCCAGGATCAGAACCCCAGCGTCTCCATGGAGATGAAGCAGCTGGAGAGAACAGTCAGGACCCCCGCAAGGCGCGGCCCTGAAAGCATAGCTGCACATCTGGCCCCTGCCCTGCTCTGCTCTCCTCGCTGGGCAGCTCCGCACCAGGATCATTGGCACCTCAGGTGCCTGGGGAATATGTCAATTAGAAGCGACGAGGATGTAGGCTAGCATAAGAAGTAGCCTGAAAGCTCTGGATACCATTCTGATTCCACAGCTGAATTTCGCCCATCTGAAAGCTGGACGGTCATGTCCGTCCTGCCTCTCAAGTCACTGCTCAAATCAGCTAGTACTCATAATAGGGACTGTTTGATATTCAGACTAATGTGTGACTGTGCACTACAGCTGCAGGAAGGAGCATATCATCAAAAAATTTTGCCCTGCTTCATTCTTCCTAGTGGAAAATGTCTGACATAATTGCAGCTAACAAATGGAATTTTAAGTTGAAAATAAGGTCAGAAAAAAGGAAAACATTTATTTTAAGAACAACGTTCTCTGGAAAATAAAGAGAGGATGCAAAGAACATGTGTGACCTCCCTTTGGATGTCCCAGCAATCCTGTGGGCCCAGAGTTTGTGTAGACAGCCGACTGTAGAAAATTACAGCTGAGAGCTTTCTTAAAGCACAAACACGTACCTCACTGAAGCTCTGATTTGTCTGTCTTTGACTTTCCCATGAAAAATGTCATATGCTTTTACTTGGAAACAGGAGTCAGTGTTGTTGACAGCTTCTCTTCAAGAAATGTTTATCAGGAAAAATTCTGAAAAACAAAACAACATGTATATATATATATATATGTGTGTGTGTGTGTGTGTGTGTGTGTGTGTCTACATATATATGTATATACATATATTAATAACAGTAACTGACATAAAAGTTTGTTTATTAATTAATTTACTTATTTGAGACATGGGCTCACTATATGCTTCAGGATGGCTTCGAACTCACTGTGTAGCCTAGGCTCCTCTTGAACTCCTGGCAGTCCTCCTGACTCAGCCTCTCAAGTGCAGGAATTACAGACATGTGCCACGGACCCAGCAATGAAAGCTACTTTTATCATCCTCCACATCCAGGAATCTCCACAAAGAGAACAGATGTCAGTGACTAGAGCAGAGAGAAATAGAAAACAACAAAATGCATAAATTGAAAATAACATAATAAAAAGGGAGATGGGGCTAAAAATTATACCTGCATCCCTTTGCAGGAGGGGTCATTTGCTGTGTGTAACTTAATGACTGCCTGAGGTGCTTTATGGAAGTTGGACTGCCAAGTTCCGTGACTCCTGTGGTCCCTTACAATGCCCAAACAAAGCAGAACAGAAGCACTTGGAATGAGAGAGAAGGAAAAAGATGGGTCAGCAAAGGAAGTGAGTCCTAGCAGACCTGGCTGCTTGGGCACAGACAGAGCCGGGGGTGGGGACGCAGGGTGAAGAGTGTCCAGGCTTTGCTAGGTTACAACACAGAGGGAAGCCAGAAATGGCAGAGCCAGGCATGTGGTCCGAGTACATAATTCCCTGGCTTCCTTACCAAACAAGAGTGCAAAGAACCTCGTTCAAAATAGGAGACATTTCCAGGCTGTGGGATAGTGCATTCAAATGAGCTTGGGACATCACTGAGCAGAGAGTCACTGCATGGGCTGTGGACTGGTACCCAGACAGGCAGGACTGCAGGAGCGATGCTGGGAATAGGAGAGGAGAGATGAACAGTGAGGTCCTGCTGCCCATTCACTTATTTAAAGAGCAAAAAGTTAGCAAGAAAAAGGAAAGAAGTGAGGGAACCAAAAATAAGGTTTCCACCAAGATGATTCACTAGTTAGCAGCACAGTGCCGAGAGCAGGCTTTGCAGGGATAGAGGTCAAGGTCCTGTTCCATGCAGATGTGCAGCATCAAGAAAACCTGATCGCCAGGGGTGGAAATCATATATAATTTCTGGGCCTCATTTTGAGACTCCAGTGTCATTTCCTCTTAAGCAGAGTAAGGAGGTAAAACGACAAGAACTTGCTCCAGCTTCTGCCGTACCTCTGTTTCTTCACCTCTGACTGCGGGTGCTTCTTGAGATTCATAACCTGTGAAATACAGCCCCGCTTATAACAGCACAGGAAAGGCGAGGTGAGACCCACACTCACAGAGAGGCCGAGGCGTAGCAGTGATTATGTTGCTCTGGGATTCCACCAGTTGCCCTAATTGGAACATTCTGGGATCAGAAAGCTAATCGTGGGTATAGTCATATTTTCTATAATTTCAAGTGTGTAAGCGTTTGTCCAAGAGCTCTGTGGAGGGAATGGAGAAGTTGTCTTAATTTTCATTTTTAATGTAGTAAGACATCTTGACAAAAGATCTACTTTCTTTACCATATTTTTCTTTTTTTGTCCTTTACTGATTTTAAGCATATTCTATAGCATTGTATACTGAAGATATTGCATTTTGCTGGAGATCATACTATTCCTTTGCTTTCCTTGCAGATTAACAGTCCTGACCCAGCTGAATGAGTTTCCTGCATCTGATTCTGTGTTTTTAATTTTTCTTAAGTCCCTTTCACTCAGGCTTTCCCCGACTATCTTCCCCGGGGGAACTGCTATTGTAGAAGATCAATATGATTTTTATGCTGCTAAAGCCCTTGGCCGGCTTTCAGTCCTTGCCTTTTCTGACTCACACATTTCATTTTCACATCCTTCATTCCTTATTTTGGTCAGCTTTCTTCACTTATATTCCAGGATGTGAAACTTATCTGCTAAAGTCTGCTCATAAAATACTGCTTTTAAAACATTTCAAGCATTGTTTTTTTTCCCCCTTTGGTACCAAGGATTGAACTCATGACCTTGCGCTTGCCAGGCAGACACTTATGCTGCTGAGCTAAATCCCCAGCCACTATTTCAAACATTCTTTAATTTGTATTTATGCATATGTACATTAATACATGGAAACACACTCCTATTAAATATATCAGAGATATAAATACATAAAATAAATTGAATTGTATATAATGGGTATCTGTGAGTCTGAAGGTCCTTTGTTTTGTTTTTATATCTCTTCTACCATGTGTAAATAATTTAGATTTAAATTCTAACACATTTCTGAAGTATTATGCATACTATTCATTGTAAAAAGGCACTGTATATCTTATCCCTCATCCTCCTCCCTCATAAACTACTCTCAGGAAGTCAAGTGAAGGAAGAATTAACCTGCTATAGATATGAAACACTAAACTTTGCCAGTAAACCTTCTCTCCCATCCTCAAGAAATCTACACACACAAAAGTGATGCACATTAGTTTAATTTTGTTTTCTTCATGGGTTGTTGGAAGAATACATTTTTTTCTATTTGGAGTAAGGGAATTAAATATGGCAGATGTATTACTCATCCTCAAACACATTCCTGGCTGACGTGCTTTGTCTCCTTGGATTTTCTCACTGATCTTTTTAGAATTATCTCCTTGCTGGTCCTGTACAATCCTGAGGGAAATTGTTTCAGGGCTTCTCCGGTTACAGTGCATAAATCTGAAAGCCCTTCCAACACTCTCTTATGGTTCTCCTCTTCTTCAGCCCTTGTTCTAATGTCATCCTGTCAGACAGCTCTGCTCCAGCTTCTGCCCACACTCTGCTCTTTCTTGTTCTTGTTCTTTAGTGATATCTATGAGAATCATATAAATATTTTTGCTTGGAAATTGATTCTGGTGGGCAAACAAAGCCAGAGCTGTCAAATCAGGCAGAGCAAATGAAGACTCATTACCAGTTGGGCTCAGCTCTACAAGAGGAATTCTTTACTGACAGCTACAAAATAAGCGAGCAGGTGTAGGTCTAAATACTGGCTGAATTTGCTCATCTCTTCTTTCTGTCCCATCCTCTTAGACACCAGTACTGGATGAATGAAGCATGTTTCATGTGGCCTTTACAGATTTGATGGAAGTGGCCTCCAGGTATAGGTGCTTCTACGTATTTTAAATGCATCTTTCAGTGGTATTTCAAGAAAGGAATGCAAGCTTCCAGATAATACGTGATGAAGATAGTTATCATAAGATTATTTTATTAATTAAGAGAATGATAAATTGATCTAAGAGTAAGGATTCCATAAACAAAGATGATGCACATACAAAAAGTTTAACATGACAGAGTCTGTGCTAAAATTTCAGTGAAAAATATAAGGAGTAATCAAAAATGGAAACTGATTTTTTATTTAAAAAGAGTACTAGCATCTGAAAGATTTGTAATACTAGAGAAAATAAAATCCTTAATAAAAAAGTAAAATTCTAAAATATTGAAACAGAAGAATATCTTTGCAAAGCAAGAAGATTTGTTAGACAACACATACAAATCCCACTATAAAGAGATGATCATTATTTTAAATGGTGCTACAATGCATAACTCACATCACTTAATATATCAAGTAAAGAAAAAAGAAACACAGGTATAAACAGGTTGAAGATATTCAGATTGCACATAAAATCAAAAGCCTCCTAATTATTAAAGAATAAATGGATGCTATTATGAGTGGGTTAAATGAAAATATAGCAATCAAATTGGAAATTGCACAAAGAACATGTTATACAACTGGAAAACAGGGGAAATTGAATTAACACTACAGTCTTTAAGATTATTTAACTTCATTTGTAATGGTGATTCAAATTTAAGGAACAAGAAAACAATTTGCATCACTCAAATTGGAAAATGTTTAAGAATTCTGAAATTAAATATGTTATCAAAAATATGGAATATTGAGAAAATAAATACTGTTGCAGGAGTATAAATTGGTAATGTCATTGGCCATATAAAGAGAATCTAAAAATGTTCTTTGTGACTCAGAAATTAATAATTTACAGAAACTTTTCATGGGTACATAAAGTTATACAAGAAACATCATCTCCCCCACCCCTAAGCTCCTTATGAACTCAAATCATGCCCATAGTGAAAAATTTTACACAAAACAAATTTTCAATAGGCTTTGTTACCAAGCAAGTGGGAAAGTATAATTGTCAATCAATAGCAGAATGAATGGATAAATTGTATCATGTATTGGTAAAAATTGAATCAATAAAACAATGTAGATACAATTGGGGAAATGGAATGGTGTCAGAGAAAATAAATTGCAAAAATATTGAGGCTTTTATAGGTAAATGGATGTAACTTGAGATCATACTCATAAGTGAAATAAATCAGACTCTCATGTGTAACACTATATTGTTTTCCTAGTATAAAATATTGAAAGAGTAAATAAGATGCAAAAGGTACAATAGATACCAGGAAACTGAAAGGGATAGAAAGAAATTGCTCAAAACTAAAGAACACGTGAGATGGTGGAAAGGAGAAAAGAAAGGGGAAGATATATCTATATCTATATATCTATATATATATATATATCAATCATATATATATATATCATATATATATATGACAGATAATTATACTACTAACCTCCATTAGCTCATAAAATAGAATGCTTTGTGCTGTCATCATTTGATTATTTTTTCATGCCTATATCTTATAATCTGAACAACTACTTTGAAGATAACAATTTGCAATATATTAACCATTGTTTATCTCTCTTATTTTGTTTTGAAACTATGTAATATCATTTTTATTGTTTTTTTCATTTTAAAATTTAAAATTCAGAAATAAAATATGCATGCAGTAGTTGCATTTTATCAACTTTAAATCTGGAAAAATAACTATATTTACACATACACATCTAGCACAAATACAATTATCATAAGAAAATAACTAAGAGCATTACAAAACAAAAGAGTGAGAAACATTATGAAAGACTTAAATTCATAATATCTGAATTATGTGAAAACTTTTTGACATTATGTGAAGATTTAATAATGACTAGTGATGCTTACAAAGGTGGTCTTCACATTATTTGCTATTTTTGGCAGTAGAGATACTTTAATATAAAATGCAACAAATGAAGTCTTAAAAGTAGTTTAAAAATAGAGAAAATATCCAATGTATCCTATGTGAAAAGCAATTTAATTTCCAAAGAGCAAGCAATGAAACAGTAAAACAGGATAGAAACTATTAGGCAATAGTTAAGAATACAAAATTTTAAGATTTTAGATGATATGGCAATAAAAGCGGCTAAAATGAAAAAAATATTTATATTGAAAAGGTTTATACCTTTAAGAAAAAGACTAAAACAAATGAAAAAATACAAGAACATCATCTTAAGACAGGCAAAGTGAAGAATATGCATTTTTACACGAGGAGTTTGAATCAGCACTAAGTACACTAAGTAAATATGTAGAAGCAACTATCCATACATTAATACGGTTCAATCATGGACTATAAATTAGTTAACAATTATGGAGAATTAAGACAGCATATCAACAGGAGACTTATGCATAACAAACACAGAACTCTTTAGAGAAAAATCCAATTTCCCTCAAAACCCATATGGAAGGTAAACTGCACCGCTGACGTCATTTGAGAGATTTGTCAGACAAAGCAATTGTTTGACAAACACTCAAAATATTTTCATTGCAATATAATACGCATAAAGGTAATTTTATAAAATCGTTGCATATATTTGACAAATTTTCAGGAAATAGTTTTATGATCATTATGCACTATAAGAATCAAATAAATTTAAATTGCCATAGCATTTGATAATTCTGTCTTTCATAATCTGGGACCAATGTAAGCACTGTGGGTGGAATCATCAGCTCTTTTAAGACTTTTTAGAGCGTAAAAATAATAATGATGATACTTGTGATCTCCTCTTTCAATCTCTATGCTTTAACAAAACAGTGTACTGCCTTGACAACCAGAAATACTAATAACAACACGCACAAGTCTCATATGTGACTTATGAAAGACGATAAACATAAATGACAGAAACTGATTTGCTAATTTTACAATGGACATTAGCTTCTTGGGTAAAAATGCTGTCATACATATCTGTAACACTGTCTGTTTTATTTATCAATTAATTCCGTTTGGGTAATTTCCTTTATGGCTACTTCAACATTCTTGTTCCTCAGGTTGGAGGTTTAGCATGGGACGGGACTCACAAAGATATAAAACACAGATTCAATTTTACCTTGTTACACAGATAATTCAGAAGAGGGTCTCAGATGCATGCAGAACAGTAACCCATGAAAGTATACCATCAGATGGGACCCACAGGTGGAGAAGGCTTTGCGCCTGCCCTTCGCAGAGCGCGTGCGTGGGATGGCCCCTGAGATGAACACATAGGAGACCAAAATGATGCTGAGCGATCAGGTCAGGTTGGACCGGCCACCACTAATATCGCAGTCTCCTTAACATACGTGTCTCAGCAGGCCAGGACCATGAGCAGGGGTTCAGCACAATAGAAGTGGTTGCTCTCCTTAGGTCCACAGATGGTCAGAAGAAGCACCAGGATGGTTTGTGCCAGGCCATTTGCACAGCCATAGAGGTAAGGAGCAGCCACAAGAGAGAGACAGACACACCTGGACATTTTGCTGTCATACAGGAAGGGCTGGCAGATGGCCACGTAGCAGTTGTTAGCCATCACTGGGAGCATATATCAATCTGTGATCCCCAGGGCAATGAAAGGGTTGAATTGTATCATACAGCCAATGAAGGAGATTGTTTTCCTCTTGGATAAGAAATTCACCAGCATCTTGGGAATGACAGTAGTTGCATAACATAGATTCACAAAGGTGAGGTGGCTGAGGAAGAAGTACATGGGGCTGTGGAGTTTTGGGTCGCTTCTGACAAGGAGAATCATGGTCACATTCCCAGTGATGGTGATGAGGTAGATGACTAGGAAGATGAGGAGGACGGGCTGCAGCTCTGCTTGGTCTGTGAGTCCCAGCAGGATAAATTCAGTCACCGTGGAGTAGTTTCACTGTATGATTTTGCTTCTCTGGTTTTGGGTAAATTCTAAAGAAACAAAAAGAAAAATGCATCTGCCTTGTGTTATTTGTGTCATCTGTGGAGCAAGGTAAAATTGTAGCTGTTTTATATCTTTGTGAGTCCCATGTTAAACCCTCTGATCTAGAGCCTAAGGAACAAAGATGTTAAAGTAGCCATAAAAATAATTATCCAAAATGAACAGTTGGCTAAGTAAGGTTGCCATGGTCCCAGATATGCAGAACATCCATTTTATCCAGGCATTGAATGAGCACTGTAAATCAACAAATCTCTTTTTCTCCCGAAATATTTGTGATCTTTTACAACACATAGATGAGACATGCAAGTCTGTGGAGTCATGTGGGGCATACTCAGTGCAGACAGTTACATCACTGAGAGTGTTCGAAACACCATACAGATTCAAAGGCAAGAGCAGAAGCTGTAGTATTGCTCTGGAGTGTCAATAAAAAGCACACTCTCACCCATAGCACGCAAGTGCATGCTACATTATCTTGTAATGACAGTGACAATTAGATAAGCGAAGTACTCTGGAAGCTTGTCAAAACTGATAGGTGAGTTTTCTTCCTTTATTCAAATGATACAGCAATGAAAATCTTTGTGTTGTGTTATCCTGAGATATATCATTCAAATGATACTTATGATTCAGTGATATTCTCCTTTGTGCATTATTTGATGAAAATGTCAATTTTCCCAGAGATTGTTATTTTGTTTGTTATCAGTACACCTTTCCTGTCAGTGTGCAGCCACTCATCCATCCATTCATTGTCATTTCCTGTATTTTTATATAAATAGAATAAATTTAATGTCTTAATCATATATATGTGTGTGTGGCTATGTATGCATCTATGAAATGTATTACTAAACATATTTCTTCAACTAAAGTTTTTAATGAATATTTGGCAGGAACATGGCCTCCTAAGTGCTTCATAATCCGAGACATCATTATAATATCATCATACAGTGTTTAACCATTTCCAAGACATAATTAGACAGAAAAACATATTCAAAACCAAACTGAAACTAGGTGTAAGAATTCTGCCAATCTTGACAAGGACATTTGTTTATTTTTTACATGTTCATAGTAACTGATGCATAAATATTTACCTGCTTTCCCTTATCCATTTAGAAAAATATGGTAGTTAAAGAACTTTAATTATTGGAGTGCCAAGATCATTACATGAAGACATAATTACATAGTATTTGAACATGGGAACTCTGACTTTTCTCTATAAAGTAGCTTTGAACTTTGAGATGTCAATGGTTTAAATAGATTCTTTGGTTTTTTTCCTTTTACAGTACATTTCAAGTCATTTATATTTCAATTTTCTTTGACTTTTGACCCGACTCCACAGGGTAGAATGAAGCCTCATGGCTCTGCTGTACCTGTCCTACTCCAAGTCTAACCTTTCTGGTTCTGTTTGCTGTTCTATCTACCATCCATGGCACATCTTACAGACTTTTGTCTTTTTTGGTCACCCACACACTGCTGATATTCATGGCTGACATGGTAGAATCCTGGTTTTCACAGGAAATACAGTCCTCCTTTGGGTTTGGCCCCTCTGTGTGTTCAGTCATGCCTGGAATGTCAGCTCAGGAAAACTGAACTATATAACACATCCTCGGCACAGTATCCTTGGCATAGTCTTTTCTCTATAGGAATTTTAAAAATGTACGGGTGATGTGGAAATATAAGTACCATTCATGACACATCAAGACTAAAGAAACAGTGGAAATATTGATGCAGACACACATAGAAACTGCCTAAAGAAACTGAGCACAAGAAAGACTTTGCGGCACCTAGCCATCGGTGTGCAGAGGAGGGGCTGGGCGGATCTGGGGCGCCTGCATCAGCCTCCCCGTGTGTCTGGAGGACTGTGGATATCTCAGCAAGCAGGGAAGGATCGCAGGTTCCAGAGGCACCGTGGCCTGTGGTGAGTGCTCAGCACACTCTGCCCAAATCCCAGACTGTTCGGGACCCTCCAGGTTTCCGGGTGCAGTGAAGTGGAGAAGTGGGTTTGAGGCTTCTGCATCTGCCTCCCCATCCCAGCTGCACTTGGAGAACTGCTGAGCTTCCAACGGGTGGGCAGGCCCACGCTATCCCTGGAGCCTAGTCTGTTTGGGACTCCCGCACCTAGCCATCGGTGTGCAGAGGAGGGGCTGGGCAGACCTAGGGCGCCTGCATCAGCCTCCCCATGTGTCTGGAGGACTGTGGATGCCTCAGCAGGCAGTGAAGCATCACAGGTTCCAGAGACCCTGCAGCCTGTGGTGAGTGCTCAATGCACTCTGCCCAAAGCCCAGACTGTTCGGGTCCCTCGAGGCTTCCGGGTGCAGTGAAGTGGAGAGGTGGGTTTGAGGTGTCTACATCCGCCTCCACATCCCGGCTGTGATTGGAGAGCTGTGGAGCTTCCAAGGGGCAGGTGGGCACACAGTGTCCCTGAGGCCCAGCTTATCTGGAACTGCAGAGTTCTGAACAGGCAGGGGAGGACCACTGGTTCTGCAGGCCCAGTGGCTTGGGGTAACATGGTAACAGAGTCTCAGTAGCTGCAAACATAGAAGGGATTTCCAACAGATCTTGAGGAAGCTTTCAAATAACACTTGAAACACAGAAATATAGGAAAATGACAAAACGAAAGACCAAATTACTACCTCAAATCTCCAGCCCATCTCAAGAAACCCTAAGAGCAATGTATATAGAAGAAAATATATGTCATTCACCTCAAATATTGGACACAATAGCTACTGAAATTAACAAGCAACTCCAGGAAGCTTTAAAGAAATTCAAACTCGAAACAATCTCCCAGGTAAAAGAAGAAATGATAAAGAAATGAAAGAGATTCTGAATATATCTAAAGAAAACACAGATAAAAAATTGGAGGAACTAAACAAAAAGATAGAATCCCTAGACGAGCAATATAAGAAACAAACAGAATACATAATGCAGATGCACAGAGATATACAGGAAATAAAAAACCCAACTGAAACTTATAAAAACCACCTTAATGAAAGTGAAGAATGAATTTCAGACCTTGAAGACAGGATTGCAGCTAATGAACAGGAAAGGAAAGATCTTTTAAAAACAACAAGGAATCAGGAAACAACAATTCAACAACTGCAAGACAATGTGAACAAAAATAACATGAGAATGATAGGGATTAATGAAAAAGAAGGGGACAACATAAGGGATGTCAAGAGGATATTTAGAGAAGTAATACCTGAAAATTTCCCAAGCATGAGATCAGAAACTGACATCAGGTTCAGTGAAGCCTATAGAACTCCAAATAGTCATAACCAAAATAAAACTACACCCAGACATATAATAATCACCATCCCAGAAATCCAACACAAGAATAGATTATTAAAAGCTGTCAGAGAGAAAAGACAGATCACTTATAAAGGAAAAGCTATCAGAATCACAGCAGACTTCTCAGCACAAACAATAAAGTCAAGAAGAGCATGGAGTGAAGTATTCCAGATCCTAAAGCAAAATGATTTCCAACCTAGACTGATGGATCCTGCAAAACTATCATTCAAAATTGATGGTGAAATATGATACTTCCAGGACAAAGAACAACTGAAGAACTTCATGAACACCAAACCAACCCTGCAAAAAATATTGAAAGACAGTTTAGATACACAAAGGAAAAAACCACTAAGCAAAGCAGATAATTAAACAGAACAGAAAGATAAAGATGCCACAGCAGAGAGATAACATTCCAACAATAAACCAGCATTTAACAGTAATAACCATTAATGTAAATGGTCTCAATGCACCAATCAAAAGAAACAGACTAACAGAATGGATCAAGAAACAAAATCCAACCATATGCTGTTTACAGGAAACCCATCTACCCCAGAAGGATACTCACAGACTGAAAGTCAAAGGATGGAAGACAATGCTTCATGCAGCAGGAATCCAAAAAAAGGCAGGAGTAGCTATTCTGTTTGCAGACAATGTGAACTTTAAACCAACAATGACCATAAAGGACAAAGAAGGTCACTACATACTCATAAGGGGAAAACTCCAAGAGGAAGAGATAACTATCTTAAATATATATGCACCAAACTCCAGAGCACCCGGTTATATAAAACAACTATTAACAGAAATGAAAACTCAAATTATCAGTAACACAATTGTAACAGGAGACCTTAATACTCCATTGACACCAAGGGACAGATCAACCAGACAGAAAATGAGCAAAGAAATAACAGAACTGAATCACACTGTGAACAAATGGATTTGATAGACATATACAGAATGTTCCACCCAACAACATCAGAATACACATTCTTCTCAGCAGTACATGGATCATTCTCTAAAATAGACCATATATTAGCTCACAGAACATATTTAAACAAATGCAAAAGAGTTGAAATCATCCCTTGCATGTTATCGGATCATAGTGCTCTGAAATTAGAAATTAATGATAAAAGATACTGCAAAGATCCCACAAACACATGGAAACTGAATAACACACTCTTGAGTAATCAGTGGGTCACCGAAGAAATTAAAGAAGAAATTAAACAATACCTAAAAGAAAATGAAAATGCAGATACAACTTACCAGAATCTGTGGGATGCAATGAAAGCTGTCCTGAGAGGAAAATTTATTGCACTGAGTTCCCACATCAGGAAAACAGAACGAATACAAATAAATAACTTGATGCTACACCTCAAACAGCTAGAAAAAGAAGAGCAAGTCAAGCCCAAAGCCAAAAGAAGATAGGAAATTATAAAAATCAGAGCAGAAATCAATGCAATAGAGACTAAGAAAACAATCCAAAGAATCAATGAATCAAAGAGTTGGTTCTTTGAAAGAATAAATAAAATCGATAAGCCCCTAGCCAACCTTATTAAAAAAGGGAAGAAAAAGCTCAAATTCATGCAATAAGAAATGAAAAAGGTGAAATCACTACAGACCCAATAGAAATACAGAAGATCATCAACACCTATTTTGAAAACCTCTACTCTCAAAAGTTTGATAACACAGAAGAAATAGACAGATTCTTAGAAACATATGAAGTACCAAAGGAAGATCAAGAGGATGTAAAACTGTTGAATAACCCAATCTCTGTTAATGAAATTAAAAATGTAATTAAGTCCTTACCTACAAAGAAGAGCCCAGGCCGAGATGAATTCACTGCAGAATTCTATAAGAAATACAAAGAAGACCTAATGCCGACACTCTTCAAACTATTCAATGAAATTGAAAGGGAAGCAATCCTTCCTAAGTCATTCCTGGAAGCAAATATTACTCTAGTACCAAAAGAAAGACCCAAATAAAAAAGAGAACTATAGACCGATCTCCCTAATGAACACAGATGCAAAAATCCTCAATAAAATATTGGCAAATAGGATGCAGCAAATCATCAAGAAGATTATACACCATGACCAAGTGGGATTCATCCCAGGAATGCAAGGATGGTTCAACATACACAAATCAATAAATGTAATCCACCATATCAATA